ATAATTTTTGTATGGTGCAATAATTGACAGCTCAAACTCTAAAAGAAACGTGACAGCTCAGAATATGATGACTCAGATCCGACTGTATCGTAAACATTTTTTATGAAAATTTTCATAAATTTAATTTATAAACAAAATATTGATATTAAATAGCCGCTCTAACCCAGTAATATTATACCTTAAATTAAAGCTGTTTAGTTCTGTGGGTTGTTCGTTTGAATTCTACGGAATCCTTTTTTCTCTCTATTAACCCTATAAATAATTATAAATTGTTTAAAAAAAATAAAATATTGATATTCTTAATATAAATTGTATATAAAATATAGTTTAAATATTAAAATTATTTAAAATTATTAATAGATAAATATAAAAAAAGTTTTATTATAAATATTTTGTTTATTTTAAAATCTAAATTATAAAAAAAAAAAAAAATCTACTTCCACTTGTAAAATTTTTCCCAATAAATGGCCCCTCCAATTGTCAAGCTTTTCCATTCCCTCCCGTCTCAGACGAAGTTGAAATAGACTAAAACCACAAATTCCGACCTTCTATGGCCACAAGAGTCCTCCAATCACCAAAGATCATCCAAAAGTTCCGCTACTTCACCAGAACCCTCAACTCCTCCGCCTCCGCTTCCCCCCCTATCTCCGATGCCTCCCCTTTAAATATCGACGGAAAACCCATCCCCATCATCGAAACAGAGCCGGTCACCACCACACCAACACCAACTATTGACCTCCATGATCACCGGAAGCTATTCGCTTCTCTCCCCACCTTCAAGCTGCTCCGTTCGGCAGCCAACCTCCACCTGGCAGCGATCGAGCCGGTGGTGGATTTTGGTATGTGGGTCATGAATTCTAGGCTGATGGAAACAGGGGTGGTAAGAGATGTTGTGCTGTCGACCATAAAGCATACTTTTTTCGAACACTTTTGCGCCGGAGAGACGGAGGAAGAGGTGGAAACGTGCGTACGGAGGATCAATGAGGCGGGGTTGGAAGGGATTCTGGATTACGCGGTGGAGCATACCAGCGACAACGCTGGTTGTGATCGGAACTTGCAGGGCTTTCTCGGTACTGTTCAATTGGCCAAGTCGCTGCCTCCATCTCCTGTAAGATTCAATTTTCCTCAGCTCTCCATTTTCAGTATTCATTTCTTGACCTTATTCCTTTTTTATTTTCCTTTCGTTCAAGAAAAACATGAGGTTAATTGATACTAAATCTTTTAGCACGATAAAAAAGCAGAATTGGTCAAAAACAATGAGATTTATATTGATTGATTCTTTCTTTTAATTGCCGTAGGGAAAAAAAAAGGGGGAAAAACAAATAACAAGTCCTGTAATATCTATTTTGCTTTATTTTGAGCATTCGACTTGAAATTAAGGATAATTTATATTACATTTAATTCACGATTTTCACGTTGAAGTTTTTGTCTTTTTTTGGCACAAACATATAAATTATTTGTTGTATTCACACGCAAAAATGCGAACAAAATTAAATAAATTGGTTTTGGTGCGGTGAGGCAAAGTCTGGCCTTTTTAGTGATGGGTCGTTTTCTCTGTGACGGGAACCGACGGAGAAAGATTCCTTTTCAAAATGTACGGCCTCTTTTTTTTTTGGTTAATGGAACTCATTTGCATGTTGTATTGTAGGATTCACATTTATATATTATATTTTTATTAAATTACTTAAATAATAAATTATATAATAAAATATATATTTTTTACCTTTTAATTTATTTTATTTATATATTATATAATTTAAATAAAATTTTTTATCTTATTTATATATTATATAATTTAAATAAAATTTTTTATCTTATTAAAAAATTATCTATAAATTACTTAATAATGAACATAGTGAGCAACAAGTGGAGAACTGCTAAATGACAAGAAACAAGTAGCGGTAGAAAATTCCAATAGTTCATGGAAAAAAGACTTGTACCATGTTTTTTAATTGAAGCTGACAATTCCAGCTTGATTCCATTTCAAAGGACTGGACAAACTTCAATACTACATCTATCTGGGGAAAGCTGAACATAAATTTCAGCAGCAAACAACTATTATTTTCGGATTGAAATTTCCAGGAACACTGGAAAGAGGAATTTTTCTATCATTCTATAATTTCTTCAGAAAAAGACTGAAAATGTTTTTCTGTTTTATCCAAACAGGCAAGCTCTATCGCTGTGAAGATTACTGCAATAACCCCCATCAGCCTTCTCAAGAGAATTAGTGACTTGTTAAGGTGGCAATACAAGGACCCTTCTTTTAATCTTCCCTGGAAACTAAATTGTTTTCCCATTTTCTCCGAGTCCAGTCCTTTATATCACACCCTCGAGAGGCCTGAACCATTAACTCCAGAAGAAGAACAAGACTTCGAATTAGCCCAGCAGAGACTGCTCAAAATCTGCCAGGAGTGCGCGGAAGCTGGTATTCCATTAATGATTGATGCAGAGGACACATATCTGCAACCTTCAATTGACTACTTCACGTACTCAACAGCCATCAACCACAACCGGGATGATAACCCAGTTGTTTATGGGACAATTCAGGCGTACCTTAAAGATGCAAAAGAGAGGCTGCTTTTGGTGACAAAAGATGCGGATAAGCAGGGAGTTCCCATGGGGTTCAAACTGGTGAGGGGTGCTTATATGACTAGTGAGAGGAAACTTGCTTCTTCATTAGGCTTCGAGTATCCAATCCACAACAGCATTCAGGAAACGCACGATTGCTACAATTCATGTGCCGCTTTTTTGCTGGAGAGGATTGCTGATGGCAATGGTGGAGTTATTCTTGCAACACATAATGTTGAGTCAGGTATGGAAAGGAAAATCCAGACGTTCTGTTTCCAGCAATGCTTAATCGTTGCAAAAAGTCAGAAACCTTAAAATTTGTTAATAACTAATGATGGTTCAAAACAGGGCAACTTGCAGCGACTAAGGCACGGAATTTGGGAATCGGGAAGGGGAATCATAAGCTTGAGTTTGCGCAGCTTTATGGAATGTCAGACTCTCTCTCCTATGGATTGAGCAACGCAGGATTTCGAGTTGGCAAGTACTTGCCATACGGACCGGTAGACAAGGTGATTCCATACCTGCTAAGAAGGGCTGAAGAAAACAGGGGAATGCTGTCCACTTCAACCCTTGATAGGCAGCTGATGAGGTAAATTTTTAGATTTGAATAAGCTCTTAAGCTCAAAAGAAAATTTGGGTTTGAATTTTTTGGCTTCATTGTTTGATTTTCCATCTTTTTGCAGTAAGGAGTTGAAGAGGAGACTGAAGAACCTGATATTTTCCGTGGCATAGATGACAGCGGGTTAGCGCATCAAGGACCAAAGGTAGACAACGTTTGGACAAGACCATCCCCAAAGAAGTTTGAAAATATGCTGAAAAAAAAAAATAATAATAAAGAAGGAAGGTAGAAGCTGTTACATAAGAAATTGAAGCATTAGCCTAGTTTTAGGAAAATGGGGATGGACAGGTTTGTTTTTGGGACAACATAAATTTGAGCAAAAAGCTAGGAAATATCTCTGCTTTCATTCTTAAATAACAAGGAAGTAAAAAGAAATGTAACCTTGGCAACTGGCAAGCTGCCCATTTCAATGAAAATTGTATTTATGGAAAGTTGTTTTGTTGAGTAGAAAAATTTTATATTGAAAATATAATAAAAAAATACATGAATTAAATATTATAAGAATTATTTTACTAGCTGTCAACTAATTTGGATTAGATGAAAACCATGGATTAAAACAAAATCCACATACGGATGATCATATTGTATGTTAACCCCTAACAAAAAGGCATATCATAATTTCTCACTAATGGCAGCATACAAACTAATTTAGCAGCAAAATAACTTAACATTCCATATCCTATTGCCATAAATAACATCATGGAGAGGACTTCAAATACACAAATGGGTAGAATTTTCACTGCATGATTAGGCTAAAAAGAAATCATGCTTACACTAAATCCTGAGGTCAAGATTGTAATTCATGGCAGCAAAACTCGCCCCGCTATTGGTTATATTGTATATTTGTATGTTACTTTTTGGAACTTTTCTTCTTCCTCTATCTTTTTGCCTGATAAACTAAAGATCCAAACATTCAGATTCCATTTTCTGTCCAATAGTGATGTTAAGTAAACAAGAAGAAGCCTCCCCCATTGAAAAGGAAAGGCGGTCCATCCATGTTATTGGAATCCAAAATTTCAAATCCCACAAGTAAAAAATTTGTTTTGCAATTAGATGTAAAATATTAACCATTAAATAATAAAAGAGTTATCAATGATTTGTTCGTTCGAGTGAAATGAGTTTGATTCTCTTTAAATAAAATTTGAAATTCAAGTATTGTAAATAGAGAAATATGTGTTAAAAAAGAATTTATCTCTTAACGAAATTCGACGCGATTTGATTCTAAATTAATCAAAATTTAATGTAGTTTTTGAATATTAAAAAATTAATTAAAAAAAAAAAGGATAATAGTGATAAAAGAGCCGTGTGGAATCTTTTGAGTCGGGATTCCTCCATCTAATGGTGGGTGTAGAAAAGTCACCGGAGAAACATTACAAAGCTTCAAAGATCAAAAGTGCTCAAGCTGTCTTCTTCAAGTTCAGAGGTTGGACCGTTTGAGTCTCCCAAGAAACTGGAGGCTAGACAAAACAATAGCTAAGCCCTCAAACTTTCAACATTTTGGCATTTAAGTCCTTCTAATTTTCATGTAATAAATAATCCCCTCAGCTTCATGGGCCTCAGAAAGGTCCAAATAAAACTGCATTCGTCGACTCCCGTTAGCCCATTCCAGATGGCTAGTCAAAAAATGGTCAAAGAGGCCGAAGAGCACAGTTACCAACCCCGATCGGCCCGATTGAAAAGGCGGAAGCACCTCCGACGGCGCTGCTACTGGTTCTTCTCTGCTTCTGTTCCGTCCTGGTGAACCTATCCTCAGGTAATCCCGCCACCATCTGCTATTGGGTTCGTCCAATTACGGCTCTTTGTATCAAATCTTTCCTCAATCAAAAGGTTTTGTTTGTTAGAGGCTGGAAATGTCAATGGTGTAACTTTGCTGTGAAATTTCATTGTGGGACTTGGTTGCCGTAATTGGTATTTGCTAGTTTGCCGCAAGATTGGTGTTTTGGTCACTACAAATCTGTTTGGGTTAAATTTTTATTTTGGGAAAAATTCAAACGCAGATGGATCAAATGTATTGCGTTGAAGCTGTTTGATGAAATACCCAGATGAAGTTGGCTCTCTGTTCATAAGTCCAAAGAGAAAACTAGCAACAGTCGCAAACAAACATTTTGATGTTAAAATTTTTATCATTCACTGCTTCACATATAGTCAACATGGTGGAAACGTCTATATACTAAATTTGCTGTCTTTCTATGCTATTGTCTCTGCCAGCGTATACATGTAAGCGTTATTAACGAGTTATTTACCTGATTTTATGACCCTTTTGCAGCTCTTGTCTATGACATGAATTTTGCTTGTCATTTCTCGGTGTTGATAGTAGCAGTTCAAAGATATCCGTATGAAGATGCTTTTAAGGAACCCAGGTAAACTTGATTTGTTGAGTTTTAGTATTGAATGAAAATGTGATTTGTGTTTCTTTTTTCTCCAAAAGTTTAATTATCAGTGGTATTTATTCTTAAGCATGTTTGTCCATTGTCACCTCATGGGTTGAAATGCAAAGAATGATTTTGCATTCTATTAATTATAATTATATGAGATAAGCTGAAGTTGAAAGTCTTCTTAGAAGAAACCAGTCATGATCACATGGAATTTTGTCCATGGGCATTGTTACTCCTTAGGATGGGTAGTTTTGCACCCAAGGTCAGCCGATATTGCGTTATCATGCAAAGAACTTGCTATCTGATAGACCTCAATTTTTCATTTTTATTTTTTTCATTGATTCCAGGTCTTTCAAGATTGAGATTGCTAACTGTTTCTCTTTGTTGTTGCTGCAGGAACAATATTGCATTTTCACAAAAAATGCTGCAACATTTGCACTATTTCAAAGAGATTGTCATCCTTGTCTAATGAGCCCCCTGACTTGTCTCAGAAACCTGTTCCCTTTGTGCATGGCAATTTTCAAGAAAACTCAAAAATCCTTGAAGGTGCAAGAGAAGAAGTTGATCATGTGTGCCAGATTTTGGAGAGTGGTCCTTGGGGAGCGACCCTTGAGAGTGCTTTATCAGTGCTTGAAGGAAGAACTCAACCAAACTTGGTTATTGGAGTCTTGAGAAGGCTTAAGGATGTAAACCTTGCAATAAATTATTTTCGATGGGCTGAGAGGAAAATTGACCAAGCACATTGCCCAGAAGCATACAATTCACTTCTCAGGGTGATGGCTCGAAGTAAGAACTTTAATCATCTGGAACAAGTTCTTGGAGAAATGAGTATTGCAGGATTTGGCCCATCCAATAATATGTGCATTGAGTTAGTTGTTAGTTGTGTTAGGTCACAAAAGCTGAGAGAAGCTTTTGATATCATTCAAACCATGAGAAAGTTTAAATTCCGCCCAGCATTTTCTGCCTATACAACTCTGATTGGTGCTCTTTCTGTTTTCCAAGAATCTGATCTTATGCTCAAGCTCTTTCATCAGATGCAGGAACTAGGTTATGAATTGAGTGTCCATTTGTTTACAACACTCATTCGTGTCTTTGCCAAGGAAGGCCGGGTTGATGCTGCTCTCTCCCTTTTGGATGAGATGAAGAGCAACTCTTTTAATGCTGATATTGTTCTTTACAATGTTTGTATAGATTGCTTTGGTAAGGTGGGTAAGGTGGATATGGCCTGGAAATTCTTTCATGAGATGAAAGCAAATGGGATAATGCCTGATGATGTGACTTATACAAGCATGATTGGTGTTCTCTGCAATGCAAATAGACTTGATGAAGCTGTGGAAATATTTGAGCAGATGGAGCAGAAAAGGAACGTACCTTGTGCTTATGCTTATAATACCATGATCATGGGTTATGGATCAGCTGGGAAATTTGATGAAGCATACAGTTTACTAGAAAGACAAAAGGTAAAGGGTTGCATTCCAAGTGTAATTTCATACAACTGTATACTTACTTGCCTTGGGAAGAAGGGAAAAGTGGACGAGGCATTAAGGATCTTTGAGGAGATGAAGATAGATGCTGCTCCCAATCTTGCAACCTATAATATTCTCATAGAAATGCTTTGCAAGGCTGGAAATGTTGAGGATGCTTTGAGGGTTCGGGATGCCATGAAAGAAAGTGGTCTGTATCCCAATGTTATGACCATAAACATTATGGTTGATCGACTATGTAAAGCGAAAAAACTTGATGAGGCTTGTTCTTTATTTGAAAATATGGACCATAAAGTTTGCTCCCCAGATGAGATCACATTTTGTTCTCTTATTGATGGCTTAGGTAGGCATGGTCGAGTAGATGATGCCTACAGGCTTTATGAGAAGATGTTGGATTTTGATAAGGTTCCAAATGCTGTTGTATATACATCCCTCATCAAAAACTTCTTCAGTTGTGGCAGGAAGGAGGATGGTCATAAGATATATAAAGAAATGCTTCGCAGGGGCTGTTCTCCTGATTTAATGCTATTGAATGTATACATGGATTGTGTTTTTAAAGCTGGAGAAACTGAGAAGGGCAGGGCTTTGTTTGCAGAAATAAAAGAACAAGGATTGATTCCAGATGCACGAAGCTATTCAATCCTGATTAATGGCCTTGTGAAAGCTGGTTTTGCTTATGAAACCTATGAGTTGTTCTATGCAATGAAAGAACAGGGTTGTGTTCTGGATACCTGTGCTTATAATGCTGTTATTGATGGATTCTGCAAGTCAGGCAAGGTGAACAAAGCTTATCAGCTGCTAGAAGAAATGAACACAATGGGTCATCAACCCACTGTTGTTACCTATGGTTCTGTCATTGATGGACTTGCTAAAATTGACAGGCTTGATGAAGCATACATGCTCTTTGAAGAAGCAAAATCAAAGGGAATTAAGTTGAATGTAATCATCTATAGTAGTCTTATTGATGGGTTTGGAAAAGTTGGCAGAATAGATGAAGCATATCTGATCTTAGAAGAGCTAAGGCAGAAAGGTTTGACGCCAAATGTATACACATGGAATTGCTTGATTGATGCTCTAATCAAAGCAGATGAGATTAATGAAGCCCTTATCTGCTTCCAATCAATGAATGAATCAAAATGCACTCCCAACCATGTGACTTACAGCATTCTCATAAATGGTCTGTGCAGTGTTAGAAAATTCAACAAGGCCTTTGTATTTTGGCAAGAGATGCAAAAGAAAGGGTTAAAACCCAATGCGATCACCTACATCACCATGATCTCTGGACTTGCAAAGGCTGGTAACATTGCAGCTGCTCATGAACTTTTTGAGAGGTTTAAGGCAGGTGGGGGTGTACCTGATGCTGCTGTCTATAATGCTTTGATAGAAGGGTTAAGCTATACAAATAGGGCAGTCGACGCTTATAGTCTTTTTGAAGAAACTCGGAGGAAAGGTTTGAACATTCATACCAAGACCTGTGTTGTTCTTTTGGATGCATTGCATAAGGCTGAACGTCTTGAGCAGGCAGCAATTGTAGGGGCTGTCTTGAGGGAAACAGCCAAGTCTCAACATGCTTCGAAATATTGGTAATATCAATGTTGCCACAACGTATCAAGCATTCAGTCTTGGTTTAATTGCAATTATCTGAATAAATGAGGGTTACTCTTCATGC